AAGACGATTTTATGATATACCTTCACGGGCGGAAGTGGTGCAGTGACAAGTGGCGCGCTCACCACGCGAGCGGTCCGGGATCAAATCCTGGGTCGTGAGTCGCCCGGGCCAACCAAGCCTTCCATCCCTCCGGGGTCGGTTAATTGGTACCAGACTTGTCTGGGAGGATAAAAACACTGACTTGAACATCGGCTGGCCCCCGCAAGTCATTGTATAGGCCACATCGCATTCAAACGCCACTACGAATGTACAAATGGAAGTAGAATGCGTGCCGCATCCCAAAAAGGGATTGATCAACGGCAAATGCTTTATCCTTTTTCCTTTTTTAATACTCGCATTTCTTAACATCGATAGATCTATTCGGATTAAGCAAGTTACCGAGCACTATGACAGAGACCGGTGCCTTCACGAGCGAAGTTCATTCAAACCGTCCTGATCTTCATCCGCAATAAAAGCATTTCTTTGATAGCAGTGGAATCGTAGAGATTACATCTACTAGCATCTTTATTCTTGAAATTTGTGTGTTACCAAATGTCGACTCCGAAGAGGGTTTGATAGGTTTTGACTGACTGCTGCGCGCTACTCGGTCTTCGGACTATGCATATCGAAGTTACTCTTTTTCTCCGGCAATTTGCAATGATTGGCGCTGAGTCAGGTATCGCACCGATGCACAGAAGTACTTAGTTTTTAGAATTCCTTTTGGTGTTTTTTAAGGGCAGAGGCAGCTCGATACTCACAGATAAAATTGCCTTCGTAAATAAGTTGGGTAACCTTTTTCCGTTAATCTGTGATCAGTTTAGGTGCTAGAGAAGAGCCTACGACGTGAGTGCAAATGTCACGGGATGATGTGGGCTCATGTGAGATAAAAACTTGCTGGGACACATTGCCCACATTCAGGTAAGCCTGCTGATGGGGAACACCTCCTAATAGGATTGAAAGACCGAATTAAGGGAGATTGGCATGATCATCAAAGACAAATTCGATGGAGCATCGGAGGTGACGATCGAGGAAGAGGAGGACGACCAGCCACGGATAGTCATGAAGAACTCGCAGTTCAAGCGTCACACCAACGCAGATCTAGTAAGAATTTTATGTGTAGGGTTATAAAAATTACAAAATCGCACTTTCGGGGCAGAACTTGTCAGAAAAGTAGGACATAATGGTTTGCGTGTTAACCTTGAGCTTTGATCAAGTAGAAAAACCGGCAGCCCTTATCTCTATGCAGTACCCTCACTTATCGTAGACATTGAAATGGGATATCGGTAGCACGGCGTCTGTGCTTTCCTGCCCATGTGTCTTTTCGGTCGTATTGATTGGTATCCGGCTTCGGCTGAGTCAATTTGGGCAGGACTTTAGATCTACTCTCGGGATGGTAGTCCTCCAGTCCTGCTTAGCGCTTCTTACGCCTTAGAAGGGCACCCAAGCCATTGTCAGTATGGGACCTTAAAATTTGTGATCTCTTGCTAATTTCCGAGATATATGATTGTGGTTGCAACGCATGCTATTCTTATGAATACAAGTATTTCAGATCTATATGAGCCCGTCGCCAGATTTTTGCGATGCTGATCCGGCACGTGGAATTTTTGGCACAAAAGGGCGGGAGTGCAATGTCACCTCTCAAGGAGTGGATGGTTGCCAGCTGGTGAGTTCTATGAAAGGAAATCCTGCCAAAAGTTCAGCCTTCAATCGCGGGCCATTTCAGTTGTGCTGCAATCGGGGATTCGAGCGACGAGTATTTTTCGAGGTCGATCAGTGTAATTGCAAATTTCACTATTGTTGTCGAGTCGAATGCGAACCGTGTGAACGTCGAATCGAAAGGCATTTCTGCCTTTGAAACGCTCTTTCCCCTACCTCTCATCTTCGCCCATTCTGTGCATGCATAGGTAGCTTTCTGTATCATAGAATTCTCCCAACTCCGCCCCCATCGTCCAGACTCCGCCCCTTTTCTTCCAAGGCTCCGCCCTTTGCCCTAACTGTGGATATTGTTGTTTTTGTCGATCACTGTGGTCTCATTGTGTGCATAAGAAATTCATGTTAACGAATGAATGTTTATGCTTATGAATAAATTCAATACATATAAAATTACAAGAATAAATTCAATACATATAAACTACAAAACACCTGTATTGCATGGGCGCGGCTGAGATGAGGAGGGATGCGCACGCCGTAGTGAGCAGAAAAGAGGTATGCACGAAGAGAACGGGTAAAGAACTCGTGAACAGGGATGTGCACGAGTTCATAGACCTAGGTAAAGCTATTATACACTGAACGTGGCCGATTTCCTCATATCGCTCCACGTGACTTTCTTTGGTGTGGTCGATTTGTCGGGCAATGTTTTGGAACGTATCCGGGAGACCACCACCACGGGGGATTTCTGAAATCAGACAGTTAGAGCAAATCATAAAACATAAAGCATTTGCCGTTGATCAATCCCTTTTTGGGATGCGGCACGCATTCTACTTCCATTTGTACATTCGTAGTGGCGTTTGAATGCGATGTGGCCTATACAATGACTTGCGGGGCCAGCCGATGTGTCAGTGTTTTTATCCTCCCAGACAAGTCTGGTACCAATTAACCGACCCCGGAAGAATGAAGTTCTTGGTTGGACGACGGGAAACCCAGGATTTGATCCACGGACCGCGTGCGTGGTATGCAGCGCCTACAGCACTTCTGCCCCGCGGTTAGAGGGCAAACCCGGGGAAATTTCAAGCTCATGTGAAGTCACTTACGTTTTTTGCGCCCATTATCCGGCCCGCCAAGTTGGCGAATTGTCGGGTCTCCTCGCTAAGGCTATCCGTTTCGAGGATTACTGTGTACAACATCGGTTCCAGGATAGGTACCCGTTCTTGGACATCGCGTAGGACCTGAAAATTTTGATATTTGATTGAAAAGCCACCGCAAGTACGAAAGCTAGACTTACTTTGCTGAGCACTCTGTCACGAAATATTGTGAGAATTGTCCGACGTATGTCGAATTCTGGTCCGTGTACGCTGAAAAAATGCTGAGTTCAGAGGGGTGATCAATATGAAAACAGGTATGTTTACGTGTTGGGTAAACTTTAGAAGTTTACATATTTAAGTAAACAGGTTACTGTTTTCGAATTATTTACCTGAAGA